GCAAAATCTTGATCAATATAACTATCCGAACTTTCTGTATCTATTGGGGCCTGAGCAATAATTCCATCGACCTTCGTTTGGACTACTGCTTGCGACAAACAGTATAGAGATGTTGAAGCAGGAGCAATCAGAAGAGAAGTGAATGCTATAGTCCACTAATTTCTTTCGTCCTTGAATTTCATACAAACATTGGCAAAATGCCGAATTTTATTACAGAAATTGCATATTTGCCCTTTGGCTGGACAGTTGATCCTAGGATGTCTACCGTTTCCACAAAAATAGCATTTCTGGGTGACTGAAGTCGAAGAATTCATGATTGAAGAGAATGTGTCATTAGACAGCAGTGGAGATTTGAAACTTCTATCAGCAGAATTAGAATTCATTATACTGGGATTGTATATGCTGGTATATGATTCAGACTGATTTTGAGCAGCATCCACAGCTCGTGAGTGAATTATTGCATCTTCTAGACTCGAACTATTATTTCTGAGCTACCTCTGGCGTATATGAGGTGACATAAGACTATTGATGAATGCATCTCGAATAAAATCGTTCTGGTTTTGCTCAGCAATGACTGCTCTGAGATTGCATTTTTTTCCTGAGAGTTTGAGTTTCTTAAGATACTGATCGATGGTTTCGTCTGCTTCTTGTCATCTTGATGCAAGGATATGTCTAGTAAATATCATTAGTCTGTTCGACGTACGTAGATTCGAGTATTTCAACTGCTTCCACATACCCTCTACAATCATTTATCAATTCATGAACTTGGAACTTCATGGAAAATGGAGTGACATAAGACTATTGATGAATGCATCTCGAATAAAATCGTTCTGGTTTTGCTCAGCAATGACTGCTCTGAGATTGCATTTTTTTTCTGAGAGTTTGAGTTTCTGAAGATACTGATCGATGGTTTCGTCTGCTTCTTGTCATCTTGATGCAAGGATATGTCTAGTAAATATCATTAGTCTGTTCGACGTACGTAGATTCGAGTATTTCAACTGCTTCCACATACCCTCTACAATCATTTATCAATTCATGAACTTTATGGAAAATGGAGTTCGTCAATAATTTCAGTTTTTCTTGATCAGCCAATTGATATTCAGCTGCTACTGCTTTTGTGGAATCAAAAAGTTCTGAAAATGTCTTATACCAGTTACTCCATTTCTCACCTATATTTTCAGAGTTTGGGTCAACTTCAGATCGTTTAGGTCGCAAGTTCTTTTCCATACTTGAATGAGTTTCCTTCAATTCGCGAATTGAATTGTAGTATCAGAAAAAAAACATATATTCAGAATGAAAACATACAACCAAATCCGAAACACATCAGTTTGACCGTCGAAACAACAGCATTGAGAGGAAGGCCCATACTTATACGTTCATCGTCCAAAAGAGGCCCCGAAGATCAAGAAAAATATACGAATGCGAAGAAGACCAAATAAACACATTGCGAATTGTATTAGATTCATATTATATATACTTATCCCTATTATTTTAATTTACTCCTAATTTTATGTATTTCTGTATAGGTAATTTTGGGGAGATAATTTTGTACTGCACTGGAAAAATATGGATGCTTACATTTGGGACCTGAAGTATAACACGATAACAACACACAAGGTGAGCAAGATACAGGAGTTTGATTTTGTTACGAGGGATTTCAGTAATAAATCATTCATAATTTTTCTCATGAATATCCGAAGTATCGCGAGAAATATAGATGAAATAAAAGTGTTTTTAGAACAATTCAAGGAAAAAGTCGATATGATTGCACATACAGAAACGCGGAAAATTCCGAACTTGAAATTATACGAGAAACAAGGATATGAACTATTTTATAATCAGGAAGATCTGAATCAGAACGATGGTGTAGTTGTTTACTTACGAGCTGAATATGATTGCCAGACTACCGTAGACAATATAGGAGATATTATAGTTCTGAAGACTGTGTTTAATTTAAATAATTCAGGAACAAAAATAAAAGTCATTGCTATTTACAGATCACCATCTACTTGCCCCTACCAATTTAATATAGACTTATCAAACTATATAGAGAATCAGCAACACGAACGAAATATCTAAACAACTATGATCATTGGAGACATAAATATTAACATCCTTTCAGATGCCGATTTTTCGCAATACTATTTGAATATAATGAGTACGAACGGTTATAGTTCATATATTAATGAAAGTACAAGAGTGAGTAGAATCAGCACTTCTTGCATCGATCACATATTCATCAAAACAAAAATTGATTCAGAAAACTTTATACCTCTTATATACGAAACAGAAATCACAGACCACTATTCCACAATGATAAATATTGAAATCATTAAAAACAAAGATAACTTGAAACTTCAGAATGTATACAGGAAACATAAGACATATTAGGATTACAAAAAATTGAAAGAAGAACTTAATGAGGAAAACTGGGATATTCTTACAACAGCCCACGAAGTTAAAGGAATCACTGAAATAATAATGAATAAAATCAAGTCCACTGTAAGAAAGCACACAAAAATTGTTAAATTAAAGCACTCTGACAAAAAAAAATCTTGGATAACAAAGGCGATCATTGTATCGGTGAACAGAAAGAACCAACTACGTAAACAAGCAAAACTCTATCCAAATAATGAAGATATTCAAAAAACCTATGAGAAATATAAAAACAAGCTGAATCTACTAATGAAAAATGCGAAAATGCAATATTTCAATAAAGAGATACAAAGGAACAAGGGATCTTCAAAAGGCCTGTGGGATGCTGTACAAAAAATTTGTAACGAAAATGAAAACCATAATGCTATAATGAAAATTGAAACATCAGATGATGTCATAATAGCTGACAAAACTGAAATTTCCAATTCTTTCAATAGACACTACTTGAATGTAGGAAAAAATCTCGCGGCAAAAATATCTCCTCCAGATAACTACATCGAAGATAAATAAATGAAACAGTCTCTCTCTCCAACTAATACCTTTGAAGTGAAATCATGAAATCAATAATGAAATCCCTCAAATCAGGCAAAGCACCAGGGTACGACAATATAACGTCTGAACTACTGAAGAAAAACTGTGATAACTCAGCTAAACCTCTGAGTTATCTTACTAATAAAATTTTTGGAAGTAGCCAGTTTCCGCAATAATAGAAAATTGGTGTAATTAAACCACTTTATAAAAATGGACAAGAAGAAAATAAAGTTAATTATAGGCCAATCACCTTCATATCTAGTATCGCCAAAGTCCTGAAAAAAATAATTGAAAACAGAATTGATGGCTTCTTAAAGAAAAAAAATATACTATCTGATAGACAATTTGGTTTTCAGTCAGGCAAATCCACTTGAGATGATATAGCTCAAGTTGCAAACATTATTTGCGAGAATTTAGATGATAGTAAACCAACTCTGGGTGTCTTTGTCGACCTAGGAAAAGCCTTCGATACAGTTAACCACACTAGATTATTGGAAAAATTAGAAAAAGTTGGCTTCAGAGGGAGAGCACTGCAAAGAAGGATTGATTATGAGCATTCCACTGAGCCCTTGCCAATCAATTTCTCAGGTCTGACAGAAAGGGAAACTAATGATGAACATAATTTTTCCTACCACCACCTATTTAAACAGCACAAAACACATTGATTTGTCATTGAGAAAATGACTTGTTTCACTATGACAACATATAACAGTTAGAAAGTTCGAAAGTAAAACTCACATGGGTGGAAATATTCGATAATCGCACAGTAACAGGGTCAATAGATTATGATGTTCCAATGATTGATCATTATGCTGAATTATGGTAAGTAAAGTTATGGTCAAAGTGATGGAAAGTTAGTGTCGATTTAACATGAGTTATTGTCGTTAATGTTGACGTAATACTGAGTTGATGAGAAGTTGAAATCGAGTTAATTTCATTTGAAAGTTGAATCAATGTCATTGTATTGGCAATTTAGTGATTGATGTGAAGTTAATGTCAATTTGATATTGAGTTGATGTGAATTTGATTTTGAGGTACTTAATGTCAAGTTAATTTTGAGTTGATGTTGATTTGATGTTGAGTTGATGTTGATTTGATGTTGAGTTGATGTTGAATGATCATTGATTCAATCTTAAGTTGATGTTGAGTCAATGTTAGGGTAATTTTAAGTTGATATCGAGTTGATGTTGAGTTAATGTTAGGTTAATTTCAAGTTAATGTTGAGAAACTGTTGAATTTATGTTGTTATGTTGAGTTAACGTTGAACTTATTATGTCATTCAAATATCGAAGTGAAATTGAATGATAATGATAATGATATCACCTTCATGTGATCGGAGATGATTCAAAACATGATTCCTACTCTGTTCTTGTAAACACTCATGACATTTAATATGAATATTTGTGGTCGTGGGAAAAATAGTGTACAAAACTCGTTGGAAAGTGCATTTTCTGTGCTCGTTTCTTTTCCGCACTCGCCGCTCTGCGGCTCGTGCTAAACGTCCACTCGCACGAAATATGTCACTTTCCACACTAGTTATGTAATATACTATTCCAATTTTCCATAATACTCTCCATACTGATATCACTATTCATAAACAACACACCCTCATCAACATACAATTGCAGCATATGATAGTATGATACAAAGGCAAGTGAATGTATTTCTTTCGGAATTAAATTTCAATAAAGAACCCAATATCATTAAACAGATTGCAGTCAACAACTGATATAACGTATTCTTGAAGAACTCCATAATGAGGCTATTCAAGATGTTTATCTTTTCCTGTTTATTATCAATTTGATCGTGCTCTAGTGGCTCGAAAATTTTCAATTTTTGATCCATGGCATACTGATTTCTGAAATAATCAGTTTTTCATTATAGATATAATTTTGTGTTTCAATTGACTAAGAAACAATGCATAATATCTATTCTAGTGAATAAGTGCTAAGAAAAACGATGTCACGGTGTGGTTTTTGTGAGACTTCTGTGCAAAGAAAGCAATCAGTGTTTTGCAGTGGGCCGTGTGAAAAATGCTTCCACGCTGGTTGTGTGGATGTACCCAGTGAGTTATCTACGCATCTGCTCGCCGTTCAGGGATTGAGATGGTATTGCTTTATTTGCAGAACCATTGAAAATAAGTTCGATGACAAGAAATTGCAAGATATCTTCGACAAACGGTGTGCTGCTTTGTTCGAAGATTTCTCAGTTAAATTTGAAACTCTAAAGACTGAATTTCTCAATTCTGCTTTGGAAAAAATTTCCGACTTTCCCACTAGTTCTGGAGAAAATAATGCCTCAACTACAACAACATTTGCTGAAGAGGTGATTCATGGACCAGAGCAGAAAATAATTGTGAAGCCCAAAAATCCGCAGGAAACTTCCCGTACTAAACATGACCTTCTTACTTCTGTCAATCCAGTTGATCATGACATTCAATTCGAGGAAGTAAGGCATATAAAAGATGGTGGAATGTTATTCCAATGCAGCCAATCTGCCGAAGCATCCAAGCTGGAAAAAGTTATGCATGAAAAACTGTCTGATAACTATAATGTGCATATCCTGAAAACTCTGCATCCTCAAATCAGAGTTGTTGGTTATGCGGAGAACCTTGATGGAGAAAGTTTACTACAGTACATACTGAAGCAAAATGATACAATTTTCGGAACAAATTCTGATTGTAAAGTTGTTCGTACTGGAGCAACCAATAAGAACAAAGCAATTTTTCAAGCCACATTGCAGGTAAATATGTCATCTTATAAAAAACTGATCAATCAAGGTCACATTCTCATTGGATTTGATAGTTGTTCGGTATTTGATGCTACACATGTTCCTCGTTGTTTCAAATGTAACTCATTCTTTCATAACTCAAAATCTTGTAGAAATGAAATTTGTTGTCCAATATGTTCTGGCGCACACGACCTGAAAGATTTTCAGAAAGATACTCCTCATCAATGCATCAATTGCATAAATCTCAATAAGAACCAGGATGCTGGCTCTTAGGTGAATGTGAATTATGCAGTTTGGGTTTATAATAATTGTTCTGCCCATGAAGAAGCAGTGGAAAAATTGAGGAATGATCTTTTTGGTCCACCCTGTGAATAGCAATCAACGGAAAGTTCACTATCCTTATCGAATATATATTCTATTCCTGCCACACCTCTTATCTTCAATTTTTCTCTATATTATCAAAATATGCGCGGACTGAGAACCAAAACTACAGATCTTTTAAACTCTAGTATAGCGAGCAATTACAGCTGCATAGCAATTACCGAAACTTGGCTTGTACCGAGCGTAGGTAGCGCGGAATCATTCGACTTGAATCGTTTCACAGTTTTTCGTTGTGATCGCGATTTTGCCAATACCGACTGTTCTAGAGGTGTTGGAGTCGCGTTGGCCATAGATTCGACTGTCGAGTCTGCATATAATAGATGTTCTGGGAGTAAAACTGTCAATAGGTTTTCAAACATATCATGTCATCGTCTTATATATCCCACCTAGTACATCACAAGATATTTATGATCATCTCTTTGAGATATTGAGTACTCTTGATTTAATTCACAGCGGCAATGTTATGATCATTAGAGATTTCAACATAAGTGCATACTCTGATTATCTGATTAGTGGTCGAAAAAATGCGCTCATCTCAATTATTTTGAATTTTTATAGCTTCATCAACCTCGATCAATACAACCTAGTAAAAAATGCAAACGACCGTATCCTTGACCTAGTCTTTGCTAATTTCAAATGCACAGTACAGTCTGTCCCTGATGTTCTTTTGAAGGAAGACACACATCATCCCTCTCTGCTCATTTTCTTTGATGTATGCAGAGAAAAACTCAACAAAGTCAACGTGAATAATTTTTACTACAATTATAAGAAAGCCGACCTGGTCGCCCTTTATCAAAATATCACAAACGAGGATTGGTCTTTTCTCAATGCCATTACTGATGTCGATTATGCATTTGAAAAATTCAACGAGAAAATTCATTCCATTATTAATATGGTTGTTCCGCAAGGGAGGGTGAGCCAAAGGTCATACCCCCCTTGGTACACCAGTAATATCATAAAATGTATCAGTCTGAAGTATAACGCATGGAAAAAGTATAAAAATACTAATGATCCACTTGCACTCGAAGAATTCTCATCATTGAGGAGGCGCTTGAAATATAATATCGAAATAAATCACACACATTATTGTCGAGAGATTAAGAGAAATATATGAGCAATGACCCGAAAAAATTCTGGCAGTACGTTAAAAATAAAAGGACTTGTTATTCATTAGAACTAACGGATACACACCATCCAACGCCACTGATAGAATTAGTGAGTATTTTGTAAACTATATGTCTCTGTTAAACCTGAAACAATACAACAATGAATTGAACGTTCATGGTAAACTCTTAGACTTAGTTTTATTGAATAAGAATGATTTTGATATGTATGTGCTTATCCTACACCTTTTGTGAAGGAAGATTCCCACCACAAAGCTTTGGAAATTAGTTTTAAAATAATGCCAAAAAAATTTTTATCCAGTAGACCATACACTAGGAGAAAGTTCGCCGCTGCAGACTACACCTCAATCAATGAATATCTAAATAACATTTCATGGAAGGATAGGCTGAGTCATACTGATATAGATATTTGCATCGAAAACTTATACAATATTTTGAATCACGCCATTGAACAATATGTTCCTATTAAGAACGTAAACCAAAGATCTTACCCGGTTTGGTTCTCCAGACATACATTAGCAGTAATGAAAGAAAAAATAAAGTATAAAAACAAATGGACAAAATTCAAAGATGTCGAGGATTATGCACAGTTCTCTGCATTGCGAAAAAATCTAAAAAAGTGCATTGGTGATGATTATAAAACTTACATTAGAAATACTGAAAATAGACTGAAAAGCGATCCAAAAGCTTTCTGGTCTTATATTTCTGTAAAAAAAAACTCAAAGTCAATTCCGATGGAAATGGTTCATAACAATTCTACGCTGTGCGGAACAGAAGCCATATGCAATGGATTTTCGCAATATTTTAATGATGTTTCTGAAAGTAACCACACCAACTGCTTAGTAGATAAAAAACCATCAATGAATTTTCTCGACATCGATTTTATTTCATCTACACAGGTTATGGATGTTCTGGAGAACCTTGACATAAAAAAGGGACCAGGCCCGGATGGGATACCCTCAATTTTTATTAAATCCTGTCGATGGTCACTAGTGGAACCGCTATGTATTTTATTCAATAAATCGCTGAAGGATGGTATTTTTCCTAAGAGATGGAAAGTTGCCCAAATTGTGCCAGTTTTTAAGAGCGGACAAAAATCAGAGGTATCAAATTATAGACCGATCTCTCTGTTGTGTCTGCTGGGTAAGGTTTTTGAATCAGTTCTAACGACAGAACTTTTCTTCCAAGTTAAACATCTCATTACGATTTACCAACATGGTTTTCATAAAAAGAGGAGTATCACTACTAATCTCTTTCCGTTTGTGCAAGATATTTACAACTCAATGGAACATGGAGCCTCAACATGCGCGGTGTACACCGACTTTTCGAAGGCATTTGATAAAGTGCACCACCCAACTTTGGTGATGAAACTTGAAAATTTTGGCGTACACGGCAATCTGTTGAGGCTCTTGAACTCATATATCTCTGACAGATACCAATATGTCGTTCTGAACAATTTTCAATCCAATAAAACACTTCAGGTGTACCACAGGGGTCACACCTAGGTCCCTTACTATTCAGTATTTTTTTAAGTGACATAAAAGAATGTTTTACTGCGTCTAAAATATTGCTATATGGCGATGATCTGAAAAAATATACAGAGAAATCAAGGACAACATGGACTACATGAACCTTCAGAACGATCTAAATCGTTTTTCAAAATATTGTACAACCAACAGGCTATTTCTTAACATACAAAAATGTTCTCAAATTCTCTTCTCAAGGTGTTTAACTCCCCTAACGACCAATTTGTACCTACATAATCAGACACTGAAATCTGAAGATGAAGTGAGGGACCTAGGGGTCATCCTGGATAAAAAACTCTCATTTGGGAACCATGTTGAGGCTATTGTTAGGAAGGCATTGAAGACTGTAGGCTTTATCTTGAGAAATACCAATGAATTTCGAAATCATCTCTCTGTCGTGTCAATGTATAACACCCTAGTGAGGCCTATATTGGAATATAATTCCGTTATATGGAACCCTGTTTATGATAAATATATCTTACGTATCGAATATGTTCAGAAAAAAATTGTAAAAAACTTAAATTACAGATATTTTCGCCATCGACATTTCGAATGTTATGATGATAACCTCAGATTCTATAAATTTGAACGTTTATTTATCCGGAGAGAATTCTCCGACATATTTTTTGTTTACAAAATATTCAATAATCTCATCGATGCTAACTACATAACTTCTGAGTACTCAGTTAATTGCAACCCCTACATCACAAGAAATAGACTAATCTTTTACATACGCACTTTCGATAGCAACTATTACAATAACTCTCCATTAATAAGGTCAATGAATTCCTATAATTTTGTTTGTAATACCCACTTAGACATCTTTCATTATTCTATAAATCTGTTCAAGAAGCATCTCAAATCTCTCCTATGTTCTAACTATTATTGATTAGGCACTGGAATTTGATAAACCCATAGTAGTAACTCACTGTTTTTCTTCTTCTTTTTCTTATTAGGTATAAGTTAATTTTGGGTTTTCTGTATGATTCCATCAGGCTCATATGTAATGTATTTTGTTATATTGTGTCACTCTGTTATAGGACGAGCTTCTAAAGTTCTGTTTGTTGAGTGACCGTGCTTATTAAATAAATAAATGAATAAATAAATGAATTACCTAATGCAATGAACTATGAGAATGGGAACTGTGATGATCCGAAAAGCATTGCAAATGCATTTGCAGACTTCTTTCAAGGCTCATATTCTCCTGTTAATGCAAATAATTCCTTCCCGCAGCAAGATCTAGGTGATGATTGACTCAGAATCGAAAATCTCTCTGAAAAAGAAGTGGCATTCGCTCTAAAGGAGCTGAAACCAAGAAAAACAATGGGCCCTGATGAAATTCCTGCATTTTTGCTACACGATTGTGCTACAGTTCTTGCGGAACCTTTAACAAAGCTTTTCAATCTGTCACTCTCTTCCAAGACTTTTCCAATGTCATTAAAACAAGCAAAACTTGTACCAGTGCATAAAAAGGGAGATAAACACGATGTCCTAAATCACAGACCTATCACAATAATGAACAATTTCTCGAAAGTGTTCGAAATAGTGATTTACCAGCCAATTTTCTATCATGTTGAGAACCAAATCACAGAATCTCAACATGGTTTCGTGAGAAGAAGATCAACTTCAACAAATTTATTCTGCTTAACACAAAGTATATGTAATGCATTTGATGAGGATGCACAAGTGGATGTTATCTACACAGACTTTTCTAAGGCTTTCGACAAACTTGATCACTTTCTTCTCCTTAGTAAATTACATAAATTCCAGCTGTCGCTTGATGTACTCGATTTTTTATCATCCTATTTAATTAACCGATCCCAATTTGTTGACTGCAGTGGACATAAGTCTGTGGAGTTTTCACCCACTTCGGGAGTCCCTCAGGGATCCGTATTAGGGCCATTACTCTCCATCATATTCGTCGATGATATAATACATGACATCAATGCGGATTGCCTGATATATGCAGATGATCTGAAAT